AACACACGCCGGAGCAGGTTTCCTCTCGACCACCTGCATGACCAAAGGGCTGGAGGTAGTTAGCATGGGTATTTCTTGTGACAGTGACTGTGTGCCTGCGGTCTGTCACGGGCGTGATCGTTCAGGCCCAACCAGGCCCAACCAGGCCCAGGCCACTGTTAACGTAACCTTAACATTTGCAACGCAGCCCATACACTGCACTCGCCATTAATTCACCGGCTGTTTGGGGGGACTTACTAAACAGGTTGCCAAAGACAATCAGTCGCCTTGGTATCTTAGTGTGCTGTGTCTCAGAACAATAGCCCGAGAACCACTGATGTGCTGATAAAACCCACTATTTACGATCCTTAACCATAAAATATCGGGGGGGGGGGGATGCACTTGTATCATTTCTTTACTATGTGACACGGAGGTGGGCTTTTTTTTTGCCACTATCCGTTCATCCCTTCATCACAACAGGCATTTCTTTTTCAGCGTTTCCTACACACTTGTGCTCCTAGAGATACGAAGATAATTAAGACAGTCTCTCCGTGAAAAGGCCTCACAGTCTGCCAGTTACAAAGCCCTCGTCAACATAAAACTGTACGCTGAGAAAGCACAGACGCGGAGACACGCTTTGGATGTTGCCGGGCGTTGAGGCGGCGCGTCCAGCACAGGCTGCAGCCGCCGCTGGGGAAACAGGGAGCCGAGTGGGCAGTCAGGGAGCGCTTCCCAGAGGAAGTGGCAGACGGGGTGAGGCTTTAAGGGGGGGTGTAACTTCACCACTCCAAGGAGATGAGGGATACTTTTATCAATCAATCAATCAAGTCTGCATTATTTATTACTTACATATAACTTGTATATCAGGGAACCATTCGTTCCGGCTGTCGCCCTGGGAAAAGGGCTGGTAACCAACTGACCTGGGACAATGATGGACGCGGAGGAGGATGGGTTTGACTGAGACAAGGGGAGCTGGAAGGACTTGGTAGCTGGACGGGGAGCTGTGGCAAGAGTTAAGGATCAGCGTTGAATTAGCCGTGCCCTGAAAACAGAAAATGAACAGGGAAATACAATTGCAAAGGGAATGGCAATTAGGTCCGCTGCGGACGTGGTGAGTGTGGGGTATTTTTAGGTGTCTGTGTCCCGCAGGTGAATGGAGAGGCAGGTGTGTGGCTCTCACACCGCTGTCCCCCTGGAGCAGCAATCTGTACGACATTCGCAGGCAGGTAATAAAGCGACGCACACAGGTAACAGCACCGGCCAGCGTTGCCCGCAGAGCAGCGCTGGAGAAGGGGGACTAAGGGCCGCTTTCAAAGCAGCCGGGAGGCTCGGGCAGGCCAGCGCAGTACAAGCAGCTGCATCGAACCATCAAGCCATCCCGGACACTTAAGTTAGCCGTGGCTGTAGAAGGCAGACCGCCTTCCATTGCGGAACGACTGGGAGGGTGGGAGAGACGCAGTGGCTAGACAGCCTCCCGCGTGTAGCCCACCTGCAGCTCATCCAAGAGAACAGGAAGGAAACAGAAGGTGAGCCCGGGCTGCAGCGTGGCGGTGGGGTGGGGGGTTGACCCCACCGCAGAGGCTGCGGAGATGCACTGGGCCTGCACGTGGACGCGGTTATACCTCCCGCAAGGAATCTCTTAAGGCCAGCGCCGTGAACCCACGTGTGCCGCTGGATGTCCAATTCAGTGACACGGAGATCCCCTGCAGGCAACCGCAGGGGCGTGTTACTGTTTGCTCTCAGTCCTAAGAATTGATAGTGAGAATACGCTCTACATGGAGCGTGACGTGTCCTAACACAGCATCTGGCTGCTCAAAAGACATCAATCAGTGTCCGCAGGAGCTGTGTCGAGCAGGCAGGCCGGGGCTGAGGACCTTCCAGCGCCCGCAGGCTCGCCTTCACGATTCGTCAAAGGCAACGCTGCGAGCCAATCAGAGGCAGCCTTTCGCGGGCGGAGCAGCTCATTTGCTCACGTGGGCATCTGTCCTGGGTATCAGTAAAATGGCCTAACGTTATTTCATAAATACAATTTAATAGGACTTCAGAGCTGGTATACTTATCACCTAGTTTTCTACGTACTCATTTGCAATAATTAATACCTGTTATGCATAGTAAATATGTTCAAATCTGCATTATTATGTACACAGGGTTAAATTTAAATTTCCATAAGGAGTGTAGTTGATATGTATTCGAGAATGAAGCATCACTGACTTATTTATCCATTCCAAAATTCGTTATTTATTACTAAGAGTCACAGTGCTGTGCATAAAAGTACAAGATGGCTCTGGAGATACCCATGAACATGACACGTTCCCTCCTGTCTTCCTTATGATCTGTTGGGAAAACTGCAAAAAAAAAAAAAATTGTTACATACCCATAAAAAGCCAAAATTGAGCAAATAATTGTGGGAGACTAAAGGACAGTTGTCTAGAAGGAAACCAGACGGACAATGAAAATGTCTGAAATGCTGAATAGTAAACGCTGAATGCTGAAAGGGCTGGGTGAGGGGGAGGCGTTCAGGGCGCCTTTGCAAGTGGTGCTGCAGCGGGCGGGGACTTGCTCGCTTTGCCCCCCGCCCGGCCTGTCAGCCCTGGGTGTGCACACAGGCAGGTCCCGGGGCAGGCCCTGAGTGGCCGACGGACAGCCTGCACTTGCAAAGATTAGTTTGGGACGGAAACCATGGGGACAGACAGGTCTTAGGACTTCTTGGGGCAAAAAAAAAGAAAGAAAGAAAGGCTTCTTGTCCAGGAGTTTCCTGACAAGGCTGTCTCTTCAGCTGGATAGGGCTGAGATGGAGCACAGCCCTCTTGCACCAATGAGCAAAGAGCCTGCCTGGAAAGGGAGTTTGCACGGGGGAGGCAGAGCTGCAAATTGGAGACTGAGCCCTGGCCCTTTCAGGAGCCCCCAGTCAAGTCAAACTGCAGGGTTAAGTGAGCAAATTCCTCTTATTGTAACCGGATTAAGCTGCGTGGTCCTGTCTTGCAACCTAGAGGGGCCTGCCTACCAGGACTATTTAAAAACGAATATACATGGAACCCAGGGAAGTGACTCTCTGTGAACACCTCTCCTCCTCCCACTTCCAAAATAACAAGCATGTTCAACATAAATATCTCAAAGGATGGGAAGAATTATACAGTATACCCAGTATCATGTCACACACAGCAACGTGGCCCCAAACCACTTCCTAGAGCTCATCTGGATGTAAATGTGTTGTCAACAGCGTGAGGACTTCATTTGCCATTCTAAGGCGGAACAATGTGCCCTGACCTTCATACAGTTCTGTCTCCTGGGAACAGGGAGAGCCTGAGAGCCTGAATACACACAGGGTAGAACAAGGGAAGGGTCCAGTCTATGGGAGCTTTTTGAAACAAGAGACACAGTGAATGAAAGCTAATTGTGAAATGATACCTTCTCCAAAGTCTGATGATAAAATTAAAGGGGATAATCTCTTCAATGTACAAATGATGCTATAATTATCAAATGTTTGGAAATTATCTGTACTAACATACTTGAACAGCATTCCAGCTTTGATCATGTTTTGAAGATAGGTATCTATAATAATGCACACATAGGTACCATGTGAGTAGAAAACAGATTTCCCGGCCTAAAGGCCTAAAGGCCTTAACGAAAGAGGATGATTTTTAGCCCTGGGATGGAGGATACAGGGGAAGGTTCTGGGTAATTCAGCGATCTGCCCTACCAAGTGATCCGAAAAGTATTTTTACATCTTTTAATTACAGTTTTTAAATTTAAAAATAATTACAGATTCACAGGAAGTTGCAAAGATGGTACAGAGAGGTAGCTGCACTTAGTTTCCCCTGGAAGTTACACCTTACATAATTATGGCACAACATCCACACCAGGGACTCACACGGGAACAAGGTGTGTGTGTTCCACATCTGATCGCACGTGATCAGAATACAGCGCTATTCTGTTACACAAAGATTTCCCTTGCTCGACTCCTTTACATTCACACCCAGCCCTCACCTACCAATATGTTTCTCATAAAAGTACTCCTCCTAGATAACATGACTTTATTTTCTATGTGAACCTGGTCTAGTCTGTTGCACTTCTGTAAAACGCTGTCCCCACCCTTTCCATTAATTTCACCATCTTTTAACAGGTTCTCATCCTCATTAAAAAACAGTGTACCCAACCTGAACTTCCAGACTTCCTTCCACTATTTGAGAGTTTGGTTTGGCAACAGCCTCCCCGCCCCCCGTTTAGAGTAAACTCCCTTTTCTAATGGCAGCTTCTTGCTTTGGTGGATCCCCAGTTTGGCCCCGCCTTTCCGTCGCTTCCCCTGGGGCCCCTCCTTAACCTTCCAGGTCCCCAACTCTCAGATCACCGAGCCGTCTCTGGATCCTGATAACGTGACTTGCCAACACAAAGGAAACAGATTTGCAAAACAGGGTTCCAATTTATTAAGCCACTCCGAGATTTAAAATGGACCTATGGGATTGTTTCCATCAGGACCTTCTACTAAGAAACTGCAACTGTGAGGGAGGGCCGCACAGCACACGCAGACGCCCCGAGAGCGGAGGTGCTGTCAGGAATCCACCCTTGTAAACCCCTGACATGTTCGTTTCATTCTAACACCCAGGCTTGTGCTCATTTCTTCAGATTCGATCTGCGAAGGTGTCAGGATAGCTTTCCTCTTCAGGACAGAAACCGCCCCTCTTCCTAGTGTTTGTCCTCTGCGTCCTCATTTCAGGCAGGCCCAGCCTCCACGTGGTCCCTGCTCCTGTCACCTTCGCATCCTCGGTCCTTTCTGGACACCAGCAAACCTCGGCTAGTCTCATCACTGACGGTTGTGGCGACTATGCCGAATGTGCATTTCCCATCTCAGGAAAAAAAAACCCCCGCAAGACTGAGAATTTAGGCCCCGAGGCGGGAAACGCGCGTTCTCGCACCCTCCGCTGCCCACCAGGTCGGTCCGGCTTCCTCGGGCGGCCGGCGGGGCGGGGGCGGGGCCTGCGGAGGTGAAGGCGGGGCCAGGACTCAGCGGGGGCGGGGCTGCTCGGCCTGCGGCGGCCATGACAGCCAAGCAGGTCCCAGCGCTGGTGGCTGCGGCGCTCGGGGGATGGCGTCCCGCCGCCCGGCCGCCACGGCCCTTCTGGGTTGTAGCAGGGTTCCACCAGTGCCCCAGCGTCACCCTCTGCTTCTCTTCGGAAAGAGATCGCGGCGGCGCCGGGCCCCGCTCCCCGGACAGGCCCGCAGGAGCGGAGAAGCTCCCGGCGAGCCGAGAGTTAACGACAGCTGAGCGACAGATTGTGGAACTGCACGCGGCCGCCTGCGCGGTGAGGCCCCGCCCCCTGCCCCGCCCCGCTGCTGGTGCGCCTGCGCGGAAAGGCGCCTCCGCCAAGCCCCGCTCTGTTCCCCACCCTGCGGTCCCCGAAGCCCGTGCGCCTGCGCGATGAGACTTGTCCTTGCTGGCCCTCGGGACCGTGGGATCTATGGGCCTGCGCGTCCCGGACTGATTGAGGGGTGGTGGAACCCCGCGTGACCTGGCCTCTGGCTCCTGACAGCACGCATGCTGCCCACTCCATTTCGCTTGAAAACTGGCCCCAGTTTTTGATTCCACGCTTAGCGTTAACGTTTGTCTGTCCTGAGTGTGAGTGTGACTCGTTTCTTATCAGTGCACGAGCTAAATTCCGGCCGCATGGGACCCGTGTGTGTGTCAGTGCGTATCTGTTATGTGTGGTGTGTACCTGTATGTGTGTCTTGGTGTTTGAGTTTGTGTATTTGTGTTGGAAGACCGGGTGGGAAGGAATTGATGGAGGGAGTAGAGGAGCTGAGAAGTCCCAGGAAAAAATATGTTGTGTGTTTATCTGCACGACCAGTTAAATATCCTACCGTCCAATGACTTTAATAATGAAAAATGGACCATAAGCCTATTTTTAATTTATTTTCATTTTTGCTACCATCCTTTCGTCCCTTCCCTCCACTCTCAGGAGCGCAACTTCAAAGGGGACTATTGCTGGGCGTTCGCATTCTTCCTGGACAGCCCTGAGCTGTGTTTTCTTCCGTTCGGGGGATTTGACAATTAATTGCTTGTCAGCACCAATCTCAAAAGCTTAGCATCTTCCCTCACGCTTTCTGACACCTCGGACTACGTGAGTTTAAAGGTAGCATGTTTATATACTTTTCTTTTTTCCGAATTTCAAGAGAGCAAGTGAGTCCTGTAATAACCTATTTAATACACGACGGGCGGCCAGTGCTTGACAGGGCTGGTGTTACCCGGCCCGGCTGGAGCCGAAAGAGTGGGAAGCAGCTGTGGGAGGCGGCAGGCCCCGAGCATCCTGCCTGCCTTTTCAGGTGTTGAAACTCCAGCGTGGAGTCGTCAGGGCGCGGCTGTTGGCTTTGGATTGTTCTTCCTTTGACTCTTTTTTACACGAATGTGTAACTTCTTCTCCTGCTCCACATAGAAGTATAGGAAAAGCAACCCAGTCGCAAGCTGGTTGCTCTTCTCCTTCCGCAAGCCAAAGCCCCTCCCTCCAGTGGTCCTTCCTACACAGGTGATCCAGGCCCGTCGCTCTCTTCCCTTCCTCCCCGGCTGACAGCCTCACTGAGCCTCTCGTTACTATTGAGGCTTTTGTTTCATCTCTGCTGTCCCTGTACCTGAGGCTCACCCACTGCAGGTGAATTAAGTTTGGGTGTGCAGCCAGCAAGCTCCAGGTTTCTCAGTACATGCAGAAAGCCGGCAAGCCAGGAGCAATCTGTCAGGTGGCCAGGTGGCCAGGTAATGGCCTCAGAAGACCCAGAAGATACAAAACATGAAAAGGAGGCTGCTAACAGAGTCTCCCATGTTTTTTGTTTGTTTATCTGTTTTTCTTCTAAGTCTTCAAACGCGGGCTTTGTAAATAAAGTGAGGTCTCGAAAGTCGGTCATTCTCAAGTAGTGCTTTCTGCCTCTGTTTTCCTGTCACCTGCTCCTGAGGTCCCAGCGGATTTGGGAGGCCTGGCCTCGGGACTTGCTTGCTGGGTTCCTGCTGCCCTAGCCTGGCTTTCCTGGGATGCTTTAGAAGAGACAAAGACTTGAACTCTATTTGTCCTTCTGTTCCACACTTTGTTCATGGAGCACGTTGGTTAAAAACTCAACTGGAATAAAATATTCAGCCGTGGGAAGACACTCAGGAGAAGGATGGGTAGCAAACCCAGAAATGTAAGTCAGATGCCTATTTGAATGAGAAGACTGTTACGAGTGGTGCAGAGTTACACGTGGTAAAAGCATCCTGTGAAAAGAACAGGAGAAGGTGCCTCTACAGGGAAAACCTCGAGGCCAGAGAACATCACCCACACAGTCGGAATCCAAAGAAGAGGTTGAGTGCTGTGCTTTCCCTTCGCACCACACGCCTGGGTCGCTTTGGAAAACCATGTCCGAACGTAGGCAGAGTGCACTTCCTCAGCGTCTGGAGCGCTGGGGTCAAACTCGTGAAAGCAGTGTGTGTTAACACGGTGAAACAATATTTTATTTTTTGCTTAAAAACAGAACTAACAACACTCTTAAAAAAAAAAAGAAAATAGTGTAAAATATTCAATGCGGTACCACATCACGGAGGTAAAGAAAAGTGTTTAATAATGGCAAAGGTAATACTTTTGTATGGACTGTTGGTTTCCATTAGCGCCTTTTCTGTGCATTTAAATCATTTTCCCCATATTTTAAGCACTGAAATTGCAAGTGCGACTTCTGAGCGAAAGTTCATTTTCAGCCTCTTAAGCTCTTCAAGTCATCGAAATCACCTGTTATTAAACTTGTTACCAGGAACTAAATGAAAAATACCGGAGCAGTGGCCGCTTCGTTACTGGGCATAGAGGCCTTCTTGTTTTCCCCTCTACTTCTCCTTTTGCCCAAACTCTGTATTTCCCTTCCTGCCGCCTAAAGTTGGATTGTGCATAATATTGGAATGCACGTGGTCTTTCATGGCGAGGGGCTGCTAAAGTTGCCTGGAAGATGTTTCGTATTGGATAAAGAAAATTTGGCAGAATTTTGTGGGTAGAACTTCAGCTGGGGAGGTAGACAGATGCCGAGATGAGTGAACTGTCGTATTTCATGCCCTCCAGGCCGGCCAGCTGAGCTACGTGGATCCAGCCACCGGCTACCTGGTGCTGACACGGCTCGCCCACGCACAGAGGGGCCGGTGTTGTGGCTCCGCCTGCAGACATGTAAGTCGCGGGTTCTCATCCGACACTGGGCGTTTGCTGGGCATCTGTGACTTCATAAATGCCTGTTGTTTGAAAAACAGGTCAAATAAACAAGCTAAATAGACCTGGAGTGCACTTTCATAAGCTCCTTTAGCCAAGAACAATGAAGTCCTTAGGACCAACACAGGACCTTTCAAATTAGTGGGATGTGGTAACATTGCCTGGTGACCACAGGTCCTTGAAATGCCATGATTTGAAATCTGTGGGAGCTCCTTCCTACAAGGAAACTTGTCATGGGTTTCACACAAGTTGTGTTCAATAGGTAAATACAAAAAGGTCCGGGAAGGGGAGCTAGAATATTGCAAACTGGATCCCAGAAAGCATTTTTTCTTCATTATTAACTGAATGAATAGAAACTTGGCCAGCATTGAGAGGCGGGTTTCCTTTAAATGATAATGAATTTATTCCTTTTTCTACCCTCCCTCCCTTCCTTCCTCCCTCCTTTCCTTCACTTTCTCTTCCTCCTACTCTTTTCCTTCTTCCTTCTTCCCTCTTCCTTCTCTCTCTCTTCTCTCTCATCCTCTCTGCTCTGTCTTTAACCGTGGCACCAGCTGCCCACGCTGTCCATTTCGTAAAATGTCTATTTCTGTTATTGAGATGTGCACCGGTTCAGATGAACTAACTCCTCCTTCCCTGTTTTGAGCAAAAAATAAATGGGAATGGATTCTCTGCTATAACTTTTCAAAAGTCGGGTAAATTGTTACAGAGGTAAGATTGTGAACAGATAACCACCTCTGTCTTCAGATCACTTTGCTGTATGTGTTAGAGCAAGAGGTTATGACTTCCTTTAACTGACCCACTTTATCATTAAGGAGACACGGCGGCCGTGCATTAACTGTGGCCAAGATTTAAAAGCCAAACCTGCACTTTTATGTGTGTTCCTACCTGCGCCGATTTCTGTTTCTAGTGAGGTGCCTAAGAGTTTTGACTAAACTGGGGACTTGAGGATTTTCCAAGAGTGAGTTATTGACAGTAAAATCTGAAAGTTAGAAGGACGCTTTTAGAAAGTGCGTCTTGGACCCTACTTAGGAGTATTCCTCCAAGCGCCCATGGTTCTCCTCTTAGTCCGCAGGACGTGATAGAGCAGACGACCTTTATGACATGGCCGGCAGTCCCTTTTTTTCACCACGAGGAGCATTGTACTTTTTCAAGAGGATCGCGGAGGAATTCAGTAACTATTTGTTTTCTTTCCCCTGCAGTGTCCGTACGGTCAAGTCAATGTTAAAGATCCGGCTAAAAAGAAGCACTTCAATTCCCATTTTTACGTTTGACAAGAATTTCATCTCTGTTCTCCTTAATTAAACCTTATTTTAAAAACCAGCACCGTAACCCAGAATCGTTCCTGTTCCGACTGTGAGCACCAGGTTAACTGTAAGTGTAGTTATTAAAAGGGCATCAATAAAATGAAAAAAGCCAGCAAATGGTGTGTTTCGAAAGTGGTCCAGTGATAGTTATTTTTCTTTTCTTTTTCTTTTTTTCTTTCCGCCTCCCTCATTATCAGACACATATGTTGAAGAAAGAAAATAATGACTGTCCCATTAAATAAATAGCAGCAATCGGGTGACATTGGTACCTCTTGAATTTTCTTGTAGCCTCCGTACCCCCTACTGTTCTCTCCCCGGGGTCAGCAACCCAGCGGAGGCGACTGGCAGGCGGCAGGGATTGAGGACATGCGCCATTTTATTTATATCCCCAGCTTTGAGGAGGCTGACACAATGCTGTGCTGCTCAGCGCCGGAGTGGCCGGGAAGTGCCATTCTGCGACAAGGAACACGCTCATCTCCCATCTGTTCTCAGTGAAAACCAAATCACTCGCACTTGGGGGCCAGGCCACTTAAGATGCCTTGATTAAACCACTCTTCCTTCTCTCCCCCACATTTCCCTCTATTTCCCAGGCGAACCTCTCTTTACACCCATTCCAGCCTCCATTGTCACAGCCCTGGGCACAGTCTCCAGCCTGGGTCAGGGCTCATGGGACTGTTCTTTGGGGACCACCCTTCGCACACCCGCCCTGTGTCCTGCTGAGGACCCGGCCCGAGAAGCCTGTTCTGGCCGCGGAAGGCGGGGCGCGTGCACCGTGGGTCCTCAGCCTGTGCCCCCAGCGGAATCCGAAAGGTTCCGAAATCCAGGCTTCTGTCTGACCCTAGACGCGCCTTACAGACCTTAAGGAACCAAAAGGGTGTTGTGCCTTCTCTCCTGCTCAACTCAAAAAAGGAAAGCCCTTCTAAACTGTAAAATAAGTGAAAAGAAGCCCCGTAAGGTTTTAATAGTCCCACCAATTGCGACCTCTGCGGTTCATTTGATGTCAAATGTTACACTGCTTCCCAGACTTGGCCCCGGTGCCTGCTGGTGCTGTCCCCGCGGGCCCTGTGAGGTCTCTGTGGCCCAGAGCCGCCCTCGGGGGAAGGGCCCTCGAGGGAAGGGCCGGCTGCGCCCAGGAGGCAGTCAGCATGGTGACCCGGGAGGCCGCAGCTCTCCTTCCGGGAAGGGTGGTGGGCGCCTGGGAGCCCATCTCCTTTCCTTCTCGGGTCAGGGAGCAGCGCTGTTCAGGGTGGGGTGGCGGCCGCTTCCTCCTCCTCCTCCGGAGAGGGCGAAGAGAAAAAAGCAGAGGCCACAAAGCCCATCTTCCTGGAGACCTGAGAAAGAGGGAAGGCCTTTCCTTTTGAAAAGCAGGGCCCTACCTAAGAAAGGGTGTTTTGAGGGAGCCCCGTGGCAGATGGAAATGACTTGGGGGACTCCGCCCTCCTAGTGGGCTCTTTCCCAGCGCGTTTCCTGCGGGCAGCGGGGGCGGGGCGGCGAGCCCAAGGAGCAGGGGGTCCGGATGTCCGCCACCCAGGGCCCTGCTGTGCGGGTGGGGCGCGGGGGTGGGGCGGCCTCGCTGGTCCCCCGCTCTGCAGCCGGAGACCCGCGGAGCACTGCCGGTCTCCGCGGTGCCGGGGAGACGCTTGGGAACCACACGTCGGGGGCGGCGCGGGCGGGGGCTCCCACAGTAAACACGATATGGCCACATAAATGGGCCTCGCCGCAAGAGGGTAAGCTATACTGTATTCACACATTGTAAAGTAAACATGCAGGGTCCTGATTGGGTGTGTGTGTTCAGACACATGCGGATGCCCAGAGACAGACTTCCCGGCCTCAGCCGGCTCTGGGGCTGCTGCACTGCCCAGGGTTCTGGAGGCTCGGACCGCCAGGCGCCGTAAATCAAGCGGGATCGATGTCTAGACGGTTTCTAACACCGAAAAACCAAAAGGAAACGAGGGGATCTTGCTGTGGGGCTTATGGGGCGGGAGTGGGGATAGGTTCCTGCCGCCTGGCTGTTCCCTCCACCCCCCACCCTCCCACCCCCGCCCCGGGAAGGGCGCTGCCCTCTCTGGGTCTCCCAGCAGGTGGAATACACGCACGCACCTCGCCCCTCAGGCCAGGCTTTTAAAAAGCAACCCTCCCCGACCCGCGGTGAAACTGTGGGCTCCCAAACCCTGTGGATCTGGAGCATGAGGGGCCCGGAGAAGAGAGGTGAGATGCCTCCTGGGCCCCGCACGGGTCTTTGTCCCACCGCAGCCCCGCTGATCCGGAGGCGCTTGCAAGGTCTGCGCCGCCCGCGCCGTGCGCCGCCCGGCACCCGCCGCGCGGCCGTTAGCCTCCCGAGGAAGCCCGGCGGCGGCTCAACCCCAGGCCAGCGGCGGCTCGCGCGGAGCCTTCCTGGGAGCACTCGGAGGCCGCGTTGTCCCTGGCCAGCCCAGAAGCCCCCCTGAACCACGCGCCCCCCACCAATCCATGCCAGCACCAGCCATGTCCCCTTCTCTACATTGGAGCACAGGCTAGACTGTGGGCACTGGACACCTGCCCGTGGTGAGGGACTTAAAACTCGGTGCGATATTTTCACTTCTGGGAACAGTTGAAAGGTACTTCTGCCCAAACTATGTCCCTACGCTCAGGAAAAAAAGAAAGGCATATTTAAGTATGCGGGGGGCTGGGGGGGCGGTGGCAGCGCCCCAAGCGCCTCTGTGGGCAGCCTGATTTCTAGAAAGGGCTGTGGAAGGACCCGGCGCTCTTCAGTCAGGGATTGGGTGGCCCCTGGGACGCACAGCCCACCCAGGCCCCCGGGACGCCCCATCTGCGCCCGTGCGCCCCGCGCTGGGGAGACCCGCGTCCCCACTAACGGTTTCAAGGTTAAGCTCACGACCCCAAACCGCCAGACTCGCCCGGAATCCTGGCTCCAGGGGGGATTGGGAGATTCCGGACGACTTCGTCTTCCCACTCGCAATTTGTATTCTAAAGTGTGCGCGGTCCAGTGCGCGCGCGCGCATGTGTGTAGAACGTATGTATTTACCAAATACTTAAAATGGTGTGTCGCCCGAGAGAGGATAGAGAGCGCTGCTTTGGACAGGGATGAGTAAGAGCACCTAAGCTTTTCGGGTGGGTGTCGCCGTCCACCCATCCGTCCCAGGGCCTCGCCAGCGACCATAGCAACTGAACCTCGGGGGCTTTTCCGCTCCGCGGCTGCGAGAACGGACCGAGATGCGGGGGCGGGGTGTGTTTTCCAGGACGAAGAGAGCTAAGGAGGCAGGGGTGGGAAGGGAAGGTCGGGGTGAGGGGACCTTAGAGATGAACTAGCGGACTCGTTAGCTGGGGAGACTGGCTGGTAAAGCCAAGTGTTCTGGTCGGATCATCCTAGAGACACGCTCTGTCCGGGGAACCCCAAGCTACGTTTCGGATTGGGGGCGGGAAGAGGAAGCCAGAGGGCTTGGCTTCGCGGCTCCTGCCGTATCCCTTGCCACCTCTGAAATGTAGAGAGGAGCTGGCGGGCCGGCAAAGAGGTGGGTCCACCCCTGCGCAGCCCCACTAGCCCCGCATCCCGTGTTGTTAACGCACGCGGCTCATAGGCGCGCGGGCGCCCCCAGCTCGCCGCGCGCCCGGGACGGACGCACCGCGGAGGAGCCGCTGTAGGGACACCGAGGAGGGGCGGGCAGGGAAGGTGGCATCGTCACCCGGACCGCATCCTGAAGCGGCCAGTCTCGCCGCTCACACCCCCTGCCCCAGCGGCGCGGGAACCTCCCAGTGACCCCGCGCTCCGTCTCCCGCTGCGACGGGCGCGCTGGGTTGGGGAGTGGGCAAATCCTTGGCCAGAGGCCCGGGTTCTGCGACCGCTGCCCCGCGGCCTGACTGCGTCCCGGGCTGCTGGGGCGACGCAGACCCTCGGGGACCTGAGACCAGGTAACAGGAGCCCGTCCGTCCAGGGTCTGTAAGTCTGTCTACGCCCACCCCCCACAGGCCCATCTCCACGGTTTGAGTCGGTTCCCCCCTCCCAAAGTTAGGAGCCATCTTCACCTCCCTGCCTCTGGCCTGCGGGCAGACCCCACAACAACGCCCCGATGAGCGCAAAACGCACCCTCAGGTGCAGGGTTTCTGCGCCCCTCCCGGAGCGCGGAGAGCGAAGAAGGACTAGAGGGGCGGGGGCGGGGGGCGGTGTGTGGTGATCAATCAGCGGTTTGGCCCAGCTCCCCGCACCAGCTACTGCCCCTCGCCGTCTAGGCAGGCTCGGCTGCCGGCGGCATCTGCTAGGTGGGAGCTCGGGGAGGGCCGCGGCGGGCCGGGGACCGCAGCCCAGGGCGCGCCGCCGGACTCCAGCCCCCTGCGGCGCCCAAGCCTCAAGATGCTGGGGCTTTATGAGGTTCAGTAACGGCGAGGCCTCCATTAACACCTCCCCGGATTACTGAGAGGCTGGAAGGGCGGGACTCAGACTGGAGAGCGTCTCCGGGCGCCGGCCTGGGGGACCCTCTGCCTACGCCAACTCCCCCCCTTCCCAAGCTGGAAGCATAAACAGAAAATAAAGGGCAGGTGGAGGGAGCTGCCGGCCGGAGGCAAGGGATGAGAAGGACGGAGAGACAGATCCCCACCCAACGGTTCATACGGTGTATTTATTTGGATTAACAGAGGAAGCCTCGGGGGACCTGGGGACTGGCCGGCACCTCCAGTCGCCGCCTCCTGCCCTCCCTCGCCCAGCTTCCAGGCGGAACGTTCCGACCTCAAGGTAAGGCCACGATGGGGAAGTCTGGCAGGAGCGGTTTTCTCCCCCAGGCGCGCACGGAACGCCGGACGCCCCGAGCACCCGGGTACGCGTGACCGTGGGCACGCGAGGTCGCCCGGGGAAGCGGTTCGGACGACCCTGCGGCGGGAGGCGGCGCGGGCCCCCACCCCCACCGCCGCGCCGCCCAGCTGACGCGCGGCTCCTCTCCGTAGGGCCGCCGCCGCCCCGGCGTGATCAGCCCCTTTGGCTGCGAGGATGCTGAACGGCACTACACTGGAGGCAGGTGAGCGATGTGCCAGCGTCCTTCTCGTCTCCTCTGTCCTCCTCCTTGGGCAGGCGTGCACAGCGTGTGCGTGAGTGTGTATAGGTGCACACGCGTGTGCG